TGGGAACGCCTCGGTGTCCCCCCCGAGGAGCTGGTAGAGGTAACTGGGGAGAGGGAGGTATGGGTGCCTCTCCTGAAGCTGCTGCCCCCGCGACCCGAACCCCGGACAAGCGGCAGATGATGGATGGATGGATGTATCAATGGACCAGAACATTATGAGAACAACACTTAACATGACTCTAAGTCCAAAATTTGGGCTACATGAGCATTTCCTTGTAATGGGTTACATCTGCCAAATATTATTAACCACATTTACACTGCAGACTATTGCAGCCTCCAGTCTCCCCCCTCCCCTCCATAGTGAGATTAACAGTTAGTAGTACCTATCAGAAACTGGTATTGCTGGACAGCGATCATGTCCATAATACTTTGCCTTCTGGTGATTTGGGAGGCTTATGAGATTTAGGAAATCTATATGTAATCGCTTCATATACCAGTGTAAACCGGTGTAAACTTGTTCTTTTATTTAATCAGTGTTTTACCCCCAGGGACACAACAGTCAGTATGAAGAATTGACTGCTTATGTATCAAAGCAGAGCTCGGTTGAAGGTGAGTGGGATCACATTCTGATTATAATCAGTCTAACATGTTACTTTTACTCTTCCAAGAACCATGACCGGTTGGAGGGGTTTGTACATCTTAATGATTCACAGAACTTGAGCCTAAGCCTCTGGTAGGGCTTAGCTTGATTGACTATTTGTATGTAAGCATGTATTCCGGAGTACATGGCCTTCTTAGAGAGAGCGGGTGAGGTGCACTAAATAAGCAATTCTCAACACATGGGTCACGACCCAACTTTGGGTCGCGGCAAGTTCTGAAAGGGTCATGAGGCAGAGCTGGAAATGTAAGCATTTTAAAACCAGGAAGCTCCTATGCTGATCCACGATCAGATTTCCCAGCCCCAATCCTAGAATTAACCTTTAGGCCTATAAACAGGTCTTGGGTCTGCAACTGCTTAGTGCGACTAGTTAACACTCAACCAATCCAGGAAGATAAACCACAGATGTTTAATTTAAAATTCACAGACACATCCAATCAGATTTGTGCAATAGGCATTGATTGGCATAAATTGCAGAGTGCACTATGTGCTTGACCATAGCATTAATTTAAACGTATACTTAAACCTATACTTGACATAAGTTGAATTGAATTGGTATGGCAAAAATTAGGTTGTAGTGTAAAAGAGGTTGAGAACCACCACACTAAATGGTACTACTCATGCACTCTGTGCTTCTACTGGCAGGTAGGTAAAAATGGAAATATCTGAAGGGCAATGATTGGGTAGAATTACCTCCCAAAATTAAACCTGTTGCCTCATACCTCTGGGACCTGGGTTCGAGTCTCCGCCTCGCAACCCTTGGATGTTCTTACAGTAAGTGTTTGTGGTGCCAGAGCACCCAAGGAGGCTAATGATCGTCTTTGTGGTCATGTCATGTGACTCGATGTAGTCTGTTTTGGACAAGGGTTAAAAGAAGGGTAGAACCATTAACTGAACACCATTGGGTAGTGAGTTGGATTTGGTGTATATAAAGATGGTGAGATGGGCCAAGATGACTAAGACGGGCAGTCAAGGTTTGCTGGAAACATCTGGCTGAAGCTTCTGTGTGAGATAAATTCAACTCGCACGTCCAGAAAAAACTTTGCCCATGTGCTGAGGTCAGGGGCATGCAGTGCTGTGACTGCATTTTTCCAGGACTACGGAGGTCCATGGTGATCAGTCAGTCCACTTCCCTCTCCTCACCTATGGTCTTCAGCTGTAAGAACAAGGTCATGACATTTCTCCACAGGGCTGCTAGACTTGCTCTCTGTGATGGAGTGAGGAGTTTGGATGTCCAGAGAGATGTCAGAAAAGAGCCGCTGCTCCTGCAGATAGAGAGGAATCAGCTAAGGTGGTTTGGACATTATGAGGATGACACCTGGATGACTCACTTGGAAAAATAGGTCCGGTCTTACCTACTCAGCATGCTGCCACTGCGACCCTCACCAGGAAAAGTAGTCAGAAGATGAGATAAGGCGAGATGTTATTTTTTTGCCACAAACAGCAGGTTTTAAGGAAAGTGCCCCGTGTCAAATTCCACAGTTCTGCCATTCAGTAAACAGAAATTATATGCAAATATCCCCACATGCTAACATAATAACAAAGATTATTATTTAGTTTAGAAACTATATATGCCAATGAATTAATGTAAAGTTGAAGAGAAGAGTTAAATTAGAAATATAATTTAAAGAAGAGACAGCCAGCTCTGTTTGGGTTCAATAATCCATTATCATCCTGGATTCAGATAGATGGTTATTTTCTGCAAGGTGCAGAAGGTCGGCGTTCAGACTATTGGTCTTTGACAGCTAAATCAATGATTAATCTTTTCCTTTGCTGACAGATATTTAAATTCAAGGCTCTTTGTGTCAACAGAGAACAAAACATTGTATAACAATGAGTTATAAAGCCAGATTTTGAAATTTGAGTATCATAATGTCTATTCTTATTGTCGGGAACGGTTATTGTGGTAGTGGTTTTGGTGGTGGTCGATATTGGATGAGAAAAATCCAGTCATCACAGCAGGAATAGTTTTGAGCAGAAGGAAGAATAGTAGGAATAACTCAAAATGGTTTATGGAAGAGGCAGGTTCTGTTCTTATTGCTGTGATTCTCAAACTAACTTGCTGTCAGATTTTTTGACTCCAACCGCATTCTCATAGAAGTCATTGGTTCTTCATGGCAGCTGGCCCATCCAGTGATGATCCTGGAGCTGGATAAGTGAGGACCTCCTACAGACTAATCACTCTCAGCTGTCCAGGTCAAGGGTATATTTCTAAGGCCTGAGTCAGCCCTACGGGGAAGGGTCTGGGCAAGTCAGCCTCTGGTGAGAGAACTCATCTTGGGCAACAAAAGCAGGATCTAATCTGAGGTCATTAAGGTTTTATTTTTCTTCTGTAAAATGACGGTCAGACGGCTAGTGGCCATTTTCACAAGAAAAGAGTAATAGGCCCCCATTTTTAGGCACTAGACTGGATGGTAATTAAAATATTAATAACCAGCATATTTTAATCATGTAACTGGAGTCTCCCCCTGAGCAAAAACTGATAATGATGATGATGGTTATTTGTCCAGCTGTGAGTTGTGTGTCATTGGTTCTCCTGTAGATCATTAGCAGAAGAGCAGATGTATGGCCTAGGCTCAGTTAGAACCATTACACAATGGAGGAATAGGCCTACAAATCATAATACAGAGTCCCTATCATTTTCATTGTAAATCCCATTGGAGTATCAATGGGCATCCTGTCGTTTAGAATCCCCACAATTAACTACAACTGGCCTTTGATCCAGCTTTCATCATGGCACATGCTGCGGACACCTCACCACATCCGGTATTAATAGATCAAAGGTGGTGGTTGGGGGGGGGGGGGGTGTTCTGCTTAAATCTCCATAAGACAAAAATAGAAATAGAGATTTAGGGGAAAAGTGTGTTTCGAAGGTCTGAAATGTTTCAGGTGCGCCCAGGTCACGTGGAAGGGCATGGAAGTTCATGGTATGGTTTGTTGTGGACGGTGGAACTTGTGAATCTTTCAGGCTGGATATCCGACCCAGAATGCACTAGTGGTGTCCTGCTTCCCATTTAATAGTCATTTACATGGAAATGAGGTTCTTAAACTTCCAATGTAGGAGCTGAATAACTGCGATGACTGCTTCATACACCTGTCAAATCCACATTGCGATAGGCCCTGCCTTCTGCAACAGTCATGCATGCTTTAATATGCAAGTGATTTGAGATGGATGGCATTTGTGTGCATATCACTTACTGATCTGATGCATTATTCATTAGCCTGTTTTAGTCTGCAAAAAATATCCTTGTTTTGATCTGCATTTATCAAACCGAGTCTTTTTGCAATTGTTCCGGAGATCCAACCTTAGGGATGGCCAGGTTGCACCTGAAGGGTTCAGTTGGTTGACGAACATTATGAGAGTCGGGCTTCGCTGGCAGAGTACAACAAAGTAGATGATTAGAAAATCATATAGAGGTTTTATAGAGGTCAGCATGCTCCATAGCTGTTGTGTTCAGGCCCCCTTATAAAGGCACTCTTCTGTGTGCTTTAACTCTCTGTTCTCACTTCTGCATCAAAGAGCGAGAATCCCTCATGGTGCCGAAAAGCCCAGGCAATGGGAGGCGGCAATATTCACAGCCACGAAATGCAAGGCGGCGGTGGACAGGGTTCCGCTAATCCGCTAATTAGCAAGCTAAGTTTTCAATTAGCCGCGCCACCCACCAAAACAAAGCTACCATTTCACATCAAATGAAGGCGACATTAACATGCTGAGGGACTTCTGGGATGGATGGGGAAGGTATTACATCCCCGGTTTCTGTGATGTGGGTCAAATGGTCCTCTGCCCCCTCCCCATCCCCCCAACTTATTCAAAGGCTTTTTAAATGTCATGGCTGTTTTGAAGGAAATGTCTGCCGTTGAGTGAACCTACCTACCCTCAGCAAAGTGTTTATACAGAACTAAAAGAAGGGGAAATCCAGAGTCCATAGTCCATAACATCAGTGACCTTCTATGGTATTTTCTGGAATGTTCCAGTGTCTTCTTGTTATACTAAGAGTGGTCAAAAATGGATCTTTAAGCTTGGACCACACCAAGCCGATTTTCGATTTTTTGTCGTCGGACTGGTGTGCATCCAGCTTTACTTTTATCGGCACACTTCTTCTTATGTTCTTGAATTTTTCAAGTTATATTAATGATACTCAGTTAGGGACTGTACGGTGTTTAAGGACTGGGCTGTAATTCATCTGCTGCTTACTGTCTCTTTGCTTGGGAGCCCATGAAAAGTTGCATGGTACAGAAATGAAGCGGGGCACCAAATTAGGGCACAAAAGATGCCCGACATAGCTGCCGCCATCCAAGTAGAGAGGCTCATGAAAGGAGCTTCCATTTAAGTGTTCAGTCCATGTGTTGACACCTTATGACACCAAGCGGGCGAATGAGCGTGATAAACGACTCACCAGGATGAGACTGAGAATAATGGCCAGAGATCCCATGCACTCATCCGGAGTGTGTGTTTTCTGAAAGGTGAGATAGCACGAGTGCAAAAAAAACAGAAGGAGCTCATTCCTCAAAGTCACCACACTCTTTTGTTCCTATAATTCAAATGGTCCGGTTCTCAGTTATTGCCCATTTCAGCTTGCCAGGTGTCTGGTCCACGTGAGATTAACTGTCTTGCATGGATAACTTCATGTAACAATTTTTATGTTTTTGTTCGTTTATTCATCTGGATTTAATGCAGTGCCACACGAGTCACATGTGTGGCATGCTGGTAAGTGCACGTGCACACGTGTGCAAGAGTGAGAAGCTAAAGTGGATGAGATGCGGAGCATCAATTCAATTCAATTCACTTTTCAACAGTCTCGTTCCCAAGGCACTTGACAAGAGTAGGTGGCAATACATTACTGGGTCAGGGAAGATGGAAGAGAGGAAGAAAGAAAACCAGAAGACAATGGAGGAGAGAAAACGAAAAACTCTCCAGTAGGGAGGAGAAAATACGTCACCAGGTCCAAGGTCAGCTGGCTGCCCATCCCCTGGCAAGCCAACCTTATAGGGAACAGAGAAAATGAGCCTGTTTTAATTAAAGCAAAGGTGTAAACTGTGGTCGCTAGTGAGCCAGTGAGTGCGGATGCGGACAAGTCTGGACCTGCTCGACACAGCATCTTTACCTCACCCCACTCTCACCTCGTGCTACGTTAACGAGATATTAAAAATGCAGTCTCAGTGACCCCTAACCCACGGCCTATCTTCAGATGAGGATTGCTTCCCATTCAATTCTGGTTTAAGGCCAGGAAAGGTCATCTGAACCAGGCTGCTGTTGAATACCGAATAATCAGCATGGCATTAATATTTAAGCCCCCCCCCCCCCCATTTAAACCTCCGAATGGAAACATGTTAATTTATAGATCTGACAATGAAGATAGAGTGACCAGTGCTGCTGGTGTTTTTAAAATGTTTGTGCTGCATTGTAAATAAATGCATAAAACTTGGCATGTTTATACTGCTCATTATTTAAAAAAAGGACAGAATTATGTCCTCTTAGATTGTAAAGACAATGGATATTTGTAAGGATAGACATCTGTATCTTAGAAAACATTATACCTGTGAGTTAACACCCATCCATTTTCATAGTTATTGATAGGGCTGGGATTTACACATCTCCAGTTTTCCCAGCGTAAAAAAAGTGATTTTCTTAAGTAAAATCCACGCTGAGCTAATCATCTGTGATGGAATGAATATCTGTTTCCACATTCCCATTTTCAAAGCTCTTTAAAAGACGACAATGGCTGACCATTTATTCTGGAAATCTCTACCATTAGAGGGAACAAAAAGTCGTGTGTTTGTGTCAATTACGACGTTTGCTTTTATTCCTAGATTGCATCAAAACAAACACCAATAGAACATAATATTTTCATAATGAATATATTTTCTTCGGAAACAAACGTGGCATTCTGACGCATTCTTATTGTGGTCTTGTCGATAAAGAATGAAAAATGAGGTAAGTTAAATATATTTTCAATTTGCTCAAAGATTAATAAGAACGAATCAGAATAGAAAATGTAGGACATTTGTTAAATCTATCATCAAAATAAGTGGAACTACCATATCTCAGACAAGTGTGCTGGGGATTAACAATGCAGAAATCAATCCATTTCTACATGAATGCTGGGAAATTGGATTTCTATAAAAAGAGTGTGACGGAGCGTTCTACCAATATCCATTAAAACAGCACAATGGCTGAGTGACGGAGAGATCAAGTAGCATTTTCTACTTGCTGTCACCCCCTGCTTAATGTTGAGAAACACTGCCATATTGAAACGTGTTATCAGAGCGCTATTACATAGTATAGTAATAAAGAATTTTTTGGCAGATGTTAACTTTATTTTGCGTATTTAATGGAGTAACAAATGTGGTTTGACCCAATTGCTTGTGCTCTGAAGATGCCTCTTTAATTATGACGCCTGTCAAGCTGTATGGGAGGGGCCTTGTTCTGCCTCATGGGACACGATGACTGTAAGCCTTCACTTATTACATTTACAGTGCTTATATTTCCACTGATAACCCACATGGGACCCCAAAGGCACCATATTCTTTAGGAATGGCTGAGGCTTAAATGTGCATTAATACTCTGATATATAACCATACTGGATAGTTCAGGTCCAGAAAGTCAAAATCCAGACCAAGATTTTGTTTCGGCCAACCAGCTGAGTTCTGTGTAACTGTGACTGGTTGGTTGAAACAAAATCTTGGTCTGGATTTTTACTTTCTGGACCTGAACTATCCATCTCTTGAAATAATATTTGATAGTAGCATTGCTTTGAGGGTCATGAGTGATTGGAAAGTGCCTCTGTCGGCTTAACTCAAGGATTGAAAGAAAGAGTCCTGATCATCATTTAAAAGCACGAAGCATCAATGCAATCAGATGGACAAAAAGTGAGTTTGAGGGTCAAAGCTGTTTGAATGACCGAAGAGACATTGTAGCAGGTTGGATTTTATCGCTGTCATAATCAGCATTTTCTTCCACATTTCTATATGGAGATGGCAGGGTAGTGCAGCGAGTAGCCCTGTTACCTTACACCTCTAGGACTAGGGTTTGAGTCTCTGTTGTGGATCCATGTGTGTGGAGTTTGCATCTTTTCCCTGTGTTGTCGTGGAGTTTCCTTCTAGTTTTCCCCCACAGTCCAAAAATATGCTAAGGTGAATTGGAGTTGCAAAATTGTGAGTGTGCCCTGAAATGGGCTGGCACCCCATCCTGGGATAAAATCTTCCTCGTGCCCTTAGCTTCCAGGATAGACTCCAGACCCCCTTTGACCCCACATAGGGCAAATGGGTACAGAAGAGCAATGGATGGATCGAAATGGGTTTTATCTGAACCATAGTCAGAACTTCTCAGACAGCGTGGAGCATGCGATCACACCCAATGAGTAAAAACAAAATTGATTTTCCTGCAAGAGTTTCTGTAGCAGAGGAGAGCAGAGATGAGGACAAGTCATCTTATCTGTCACTGGAATGAACGCAGTCCACCTCCCAGAACAGACTCAGAGAACTAATTTCATTCGCCACTGATGCCCTAAATTACCAGAATTGACAAGTACAGCAATAAAAGGGGTTGTCACAGTTTTGGGCGACTGTGACGCACATTCTCATGACGGTAACCCGTTTTTTCCACTCAAGCTTTAGAACATTGTTATGGATTTGATGCCTCCCTTCCAGAACATCAATGAGATCCGGTAGTCGAACAACTATCCAGTATCATTGCTGGTGTCCTTCAAGACTCATCACTATCACTTTTCTGGTACACACTGAATGGCAAGGCACTATTAACATCGACACTGTTGCCTTTCTGCATTGGGGGGGGGGGGGGGCGAATTTACTCTCAAAAAATAAGAAACTGTCTGTTTTCAGTCTGCTATGTGGGGATATTTTATTGCAAAGACTGCAGAGAATGTGAACCCTGACAGCAGAGGTGGGGGTTAGAGACTCAAACAGCCAATCACAGTCCCAGCCACACACACGTACATGGGACAAACGACAGGTGCTAATTCTGAGCTTTTAGCAAACTAGTTGCAGATAGACATCACCTGGACTTTGGATACATAGATACACGTTCACTCCATTAACCAGAGATGTCACAGCTCGCCGGACGCCAATTAAGTCTTACGCCGATGACTCAATGAGCTGATAAGATTCAGAAGAGGCACACAGGGTCAGCGAGGGGGACTCCGCAGGAATGTCTTATCCCCAACTCAAGACAGCAAGAGCAGGTGTCAAGCTGTCACCCTTGTGGGCATCACTGCCTGCTCATTTTTTCATTCCTGCTGAGGCCTTTATTAATTAACACACTTTTTTTTTTCTTTGATTAAGCTGTTATCTGAATGAAATGCGTAATTTTAATCACATAAAATCAAGATAATTAGTTGCGCCATTTTTTATACATTAAGCTGAATTTTCTGATTGCTACACTGTAACTGGTAATCGATTATTATTAGAAAATGCACATGCAGTGCTTGAAATTATACATATACACTATTTATTGAATAAAAAAAAAAACAAAATGAATTACTAATTTGAAACTAATTTTGATCAGTTGCTTTCTGTTTTAGCCTGCTTAATTGTTTAAAGGCTGAGAATAATTATGTGGGGAATTACTAATTAATAATACTTATTAATTAATGAACGCTGACATTATTTATTGAAGGGTCAAAAATAATTACAGAATCATGTATACTTATGTAGTAGACTTAATATAAAACTGGTGTAACACTAATGAAATGTTCAGAAAGTCTTTAACATGCTTTGTCATTGGCATTGTGCAGCATTAATTAACGAGGTCCAGCCACCCTATGGCATGCAATCCAAATGTAGTGTAATTAAGTATCTGGCAGATCATTGACCCACTTCAAATACTTGGCAACTGTATTGTATGGAACAGCTCCTCTATTTGGCTTCTGTGATATAATGCAGTGTTTCCCAATCTGGTCCTTGGGGACCACAGACAGTCCACGTTTTTGCTCCCACCTGAAATTGGAAGGGAGCAAAAATGTGGACTATCTAGGGCGTCCCCAAGGACCAGATTGGGAAACACTGATATAAAGGAGCAAGAAAGGCTGCTTGTGGGAGATTCCATTTGTTTTATAAATATAGCACTCCCCCCAAGCCCCCACCCCCCCAAACATGGTAGCCTATTCACCCATTTTTGTGTCCATAAATCTCGTGATTTATATGGGAGTCTATGACACTCAGTAAAACGAACAGACATGAAGGGCATTGTGAAGCTAATTAACTGTGAGATTACAGTCAGCACTGCAGACAATCAATTTTAATAACAGAATTGCAGGAGCCTCTTCTGTGCTGTTCCCTTTACAGTACCCAGTTCCTGCCCTCGTCATTCTCTGTCACATTTACTCCCCAGTTTGTTTTTCTGTCACTTTCCATGCCCCGTTTCCTGTTTCGGCCCATAGGCCGTAGACGATCACTTCACACTAGTGCTTTGCGAGGGGGAGTCAAAGTCTTAGTCCTAGATTACTTTGGAGCTGCAATGCCGGTTAGCCTGTTCTTTACTGGTTTGGGAACATGCCTTTATCTGAGTGTACCGCACCATAGCATGGAGCTATAGTTCATTTCCTCTCCCCATCACGCCCCCTCATCCAGCACCCCCATCCTTCCAAAGCAGGGGTGGGGAACCTGATCCATGGAGAGCCGATGCGGGTTTTTGGGATGACCTCCCAATCAGCCAATGATAACGCAGTGGTTCTCAGCTGCAGTCCTGGGGACCCACTGTTATTGGCTGATTCAGAGGCCATTGCAAATGCCCGCACCCACACCGGCCCTCCATGGATCAGGTTCTCTATCCCTGATCTAAAATCACTGCTCCTAGTCCAGCTATGTCACACCTGGTGTACAAGGTCAGACCTCCTCTCCTGTCCAGTTTACACCAATACCACTTAAGGCTTAATAAAGGAAGAGGAAGGAAAATAAAGAACATCGCTGGCTCCTGGGTTCCTGCTCCTTGGTGCAGAGAGGCTAACCCTAGGGTGATCCATGTCAGGGAGGACACTTTGAACTAGGACAGGATTTCTAAACTACCAATTAAATTGAAAGCACCTAGATTTCACTTAAGCACTGAGTTCTTGCTGTGTGCTGATTGGTCAGTGTCCTGTAATCATGCATGTGTCACTAATGTTAATGTGAACAGCTGGATGAATCTTTCAATAAAGGAAACACACCAGTCAAAGCACAACAAGAACTGAACCATTTAGCCGAGCACAGGAGCCTTTCAGCTTTAAAGTAGTTTGTAAAACCTGAAGTAGCTCAAAGTCACCTCCCTGACATGGATTATCTGGTCACCCTAGCTAAGCAGCTACAGAAACGTGTGAGCATTTCTGCAATGTCATGGTGCAGTTGACACTTAAAGGTCCATGTTCTCCATTCCAACAGTGACTCCTGAACCAAGGAGTGTGAATTTAGGCATGGAGGGTGGGGATATTCCCTTGCCAATATTGTAGATGTGTTTAGTGTGGCGGGTGGTACGGGGCTGATATGGTCCCCCAACCATGCAGAAACCAAACCTACGTCCTTATCCAGGATCCATTCTTGAGGTCAAGGGTTAGGATGCAGTGGACAGACAAGCCAGCACAGGTCAAAGGTCATCACACACACTGGAATGCACAGGGACGCACAGCAAGGACATTTTAGAGACATAGGGTCACCTATGCTTGGTCTGCGGGCGGAAATCTGAGGACTTATATGAAGGCTATATAAATATAGGGACAGCATGCAAACTGCACATGCAAAGGCCCGCAGGCAAGGTAAACAAACAGCACCAGCCGAGCCACACACTCGCCTGCTAACCTTGAAAGTACATTCAGGTGGATGGTGGTTTAATGGGAAGCAGTGAAATAATTTTTGTAATGTTTGTTCCCCTTTTTCCTGTTTACACAAGCAAAAAAAAATGAGAACATTTTTCAGAGTAAAAATATCTGCTTCGCTGTGATATTCTTCACCGCAGAATTGGATAAAACGGCCTTAGAAATTAATTCTCATGTTTATAAACACAAAGCAACATCACACAAGACATTACATTCTCTCATCCGTGTTACAGATTCAGCTGCCCTGTATACAGTGAGTCCATCAGCTGATACAGGAGCTGTAATCCTGTATCATCCAGTAAGCAGCAAACAGCAGTGTTTAATCACCTACTCCTGTGTTACAATTTCTTCTTTTTCTTTATCACATTCAGATTCACTTGTCAGAAATGAAGAGCTTTCTTTGAACAGTTTTTGGTTAAGCTGGGAAAAACGGTTCTTCGCTGAGAGTTGCAGAAAGCTGAGGGATAGCGATGACTGTAATAAAATCAGGCATAAGTTTTCTGCACGCAATTTTCTCCTTGTCTCCTGCTGCATGGTGCTGAATTAATTTATTGATCTGCAGGAGCTGAAGAGAATCCCAAAGACAGGAATCCTGTGAAATAAATAGCATCCGTCCTGCAAGTCCTTATCCTGGGTAAGGGTCACAGGATGACCTAAACCCTGTACCAGGCAGCAAAGGGCACACCCTGGATGGGATACCAGTCCATCACACACACACACACACACACACACACACAATATAGGCAATTTAGAGACACCAGACACGCTTATTGCACGTATTTGGAATGTGAGAGTAAATCAGAGAACCCAAAGGAAACTAGCACAACATGAGGAT